CAATTTAAAAACTTCTTATTTTACTTTAATTTTTTAGTTATTTACAAATTATTTCTTATAAAAAAAAATATTATTGTAAAGAAAAATAAAGACTATGTTTTTTATATAAAAAAACAAAAAAAAAAAAAAAAAAATTATTAAATATGATTTCCCAATATATATTCTAATTTATGAAAAAAAAAAATATTATTTTAATATTTTTTAAAATAATTTATATTCAATTTATATTTTACATATTATAATTATATAAAAAATATAAACTTTTTAATAATTATTAAGTTAAAATAAATAGATAAATAAAATAAATATATAATATTTATATATTTAAATCTGAAAAAAATAAAATAAAATAATAAACTATTAAAAACTAGTAATTTAATAGGTAAAATTTATATGAAAAATAGTTTTTATTAAATTAAAATGTAGACTAGTTTTTAAATTAAAGAAATTGATAATCGAATTAATTATTTATTTTTATTATAATATATTTATATTATATTTGTATTTATATTATTTTTGTAATTATATTTTTATTTTATTATAATTATTTTTATTCTACTTTTTTTTTGAATATTTTTTCGTTTATATTTTTTAAAATTTTAAAGATTTTCCGCTTATTTATTTATATTTTTTTTTTATATTTTTTTCTCATTAAAAAAAAAAAAAAAATACATATTAAAAAATAAAATAAATATATAATGGAATAAGATAAAATATAAGAATTAATTCAAGTAAATAAAATTATAAATTAATTTAAAAATAGCTTTTTGTTATATTAATAAAATAAAATGAATATAATATAGTAAGCAAAATAATTATAAGATAATGAATTATTTGATTCAAGTCGATATTTTTAAATATATGAATATTTAAATTAATATGAGAATTAAGTATAAAAAAACAAAAAAATATAAAATAAAATAAAAAAATAAAGCCTGATTAAAATATGATAAATGAAAATACATTAATAAATGAATGTTAAGATAGTATTACTGATAAATAAGTATTTTAAATAAAACAATAAATATTAGCATATAAATACATGATAAGAAATATCTAATTACCAAGAGATTTAGAAAAAAATATTAGTGGATTAACAAAAGAATAATGGGATGCTGAAGCTGAAAGAATAATGGGAAGATCATTAAGATATTATAATGATAAAATTGATAAAAGCGAAGAATTAAAAAAATTAGTTAATGATAAAATAAAGAAAAAAAATACAGAATAAATTACAGCATAAAATGAATTAGTATTAAAGATATATAAAGACTAAAATAAATTTCAAATGGAAAAAAGAAAAAAATCTATAGATGAGATTTTAGAAGAATAGTAAATACTTTCAGATGAATGTAAATATTAATTAATGTCAGAAAAACTTTGGATAAATAATTTTGATTTTTATAAATAAATGTAGGAAACAATTCTTTTAAAAAAATAAAATAAACTTCCTTGCAGAATTTTAGAAAATAAAATCTTAGATATTTAACATTATGTGAAAAAAAAACCATAAAAGAAAAATGAAGTATAATATATATATGTATTATACTTCATATATATATATATATATATATATATATATATATATTATATATATATATATATTTACATATATACATTTAATTATTAGTCTGATATTTTATATAAATTTGATATTTAATTCCGTTAAAAATAAGAAAAAAGAAAATAATTAAAACATCGTGAATTTATTTAATAATTATTTATACATTAAAGCCATTTTTTTGAGTTTCATAAAAAAGTTAAAAAACAATAAAAAAAAAGGGCTAATAATGCTCGAAATTTTCTTGAAAATCTTTAAATAAGAATATAATAGTAAAAAGAAAAAGAAGCTAGGGAAAGAGTTTAAGTTTTGAAATCGAAAGATATGGAAGGCTATATTGAATTAATTAAAAATATGAAACATACTAGAATACTTGATCTTTTGAAATAAACAGATAATTTTTTGAGAGAATTAGGAGCTAAAATTAAAGAATAAAAAGGTATTTATTTATTTTATTTTTTTAAAAAAATATTTATATTTATACATACATAAAGGTGATAAATAAAATGAATACGATGACGAAGATTTAAAATTCGGATAACAAAGTAATAATTATGCAGCCGATTTATAAAAATCAAACAGAGTTTATTATAACTTAAGTCATAGAATTAAAGAAAATATTGATTAATAACCTGAATTACTTGAAGGTGGAAAATTAAAAAGTTATTAATTATTAGGTTTAAAATGGCTAATATCTCTTTATAATAATAAACTCAATGGAATATTGGCTGATGAGATGGGTTTAGGAAAAACTATATAAACTATATCCTTATTTGCTTATTTAATTGAAATGAAAAAAAATAATGGACCTTTTTTGGTTGTTGTACCATTATCTACTTTAAGTAATTGGGTTTTAGAATTTGATAAATGGGCACCTAAGATTAAAAAAATTGCCTATAAAGTACTTTATTATATATATATATATATATATTTTTTTATCAAAAAAAAATGTGTATATATATATTTAAAAATAAAAAGGGATAACCTTAAGTAAGAAAAGAAATTGCAAAAGAACTAAAAACTACAAAATGGAACGTATGTATTACTACTTATGATTATGTTTTAAAAGATAGATTAACTTTACATAAATTTGATTGGAAAGTATTTATTTTTTATTTATATGTTTTTACTATTATATCAGTATATTGTTGTTGATGAAGGACATCGAATGAAAAATTCAAGAAGTAAATTTACAAGTATTCTAGGTTAATAGTATTTTAGTGATTATAGACTTTTATTAACAGGTACTCCTTTATAAAATAATCTTGCAGAATTATGGTCTTTGCTTAATTTTTTATTACCAAAAGTCTTTTCTAGTTGTGATGATTTCGAGAAATGGTTTTCTATGCCTTTAGCTAAATTCGGAAGTAACGAAAAAGAATCGTCTTTAACAGAAGAAGAAATCTTTTAATTATTAATCGTTTACATTAAGTAATTACTCATATAAATGTATATATTTATATATAAAAAATAAGGTTTTAAGACCTTTTCTATTAAGAAGAGTGAAAAAAGAAGTTGAATCGGAATTACCGGATAAAGTTGAATATATAATAAAAGTAGAAATGTCTGTTTGGTAAATAATCCTTTTCAAAAAAATAAATGAAAAAAGCTTTAATACAATGAATGAGAACTTTTAGTCTAAAACAGGGAAAAAAGTTAAAATTAATTATTTATAAATTAATAAATAAATAAAGAATAGACATTAATGAATTTAATGATGTAACTTAAAAAAGTTTGCAATCATCCCTATTTATTCATGAATAGTGATTCTTATGAAATAAATGATATGATTTGGAGAGTTTCAGGAAAGTTTGTATTATTAGATAGAATGTTACCAAAATTAATAAGATCAGGACATAGGGTTCTAATATTTACTTAAATGACACATGTAATGGATATATTAGAAGAATATTTTAAATTAAATGAAAATTATATCAAATATTTAAGATTAGATGGGACTACAAAAGTATAAAAAATAAAAAATATTTATATAAATTAATTTTTGTTTTATAATATATAGGCAGATGATAGAGGTGAATAAATGGCTTTGTTTAATTAACCGAATAGTCCTTATAATATATTTATTTTATCAACAAGAGCTGGTGGTTTAGGTTTAAATTTATAAACAGCAGACACTGTAATAATATTTGATTCTGATTGGAATCCTTAAATGGATTAATAAGCATAAGATAGAGCACATAGAATAGGTTCTAAAAATGAAGTAAGAGTATATAGATTAGTTACTAATACTTGGATTGAGGAAGTTATTTTAACTAAAGCGGCTTATAAAATGGGTTTAGACGAAATGATTATTTAGGCAGGGTTATATAATTAGAAATCAACAGATAATGATAGGAAAGAAAAAATAGAACATCTTTTGAGAAAGAGAAAAAGATATGATGGAGTTGATGATGAAATTCCTAATGACGAGTAATTAAACGAAATGCTATATAGAAACGAAGTAAAATATAAATAAATAAATAGCAAAAAATAATATATATATATATATAATATATATATATATATATATTTTTATATATATATATACTTATATATATTTTTTAGTATATATATGTATTTTGTATTTATTTATTTATTATTTATGTATTTATTTTTTATAATTTAATTAGGAAGAATATCAACTATTTGCTTAAATGGATTAAGAAAGATTAGAAAATGAAAAGGAGAGGTATTAATATTTTGCTAATAATATTTTAAAAGGAGAAGAAGAAGTTAAAAATATTAATTATAGATTATGTAATTTAGATGAAGTTCCCGATTGGATAAAATCAAGTGTTTTTTTTTTATCTATATTATTATTATTTTTATTATTATTATTAATATTATTTTTAGAAATAAGAAAAATAAGAAAATAGATAATATGGTAGAGGTACTAGATAAAGAAAATAAATTAATTATTCAGATGAAGCTATGGATTAATATTTTTTGAAATTAGTTGAGAAAAATCCTTCTGAAAAAGAAGTTATAAGTGATGAAGAAGATGATTGTTATGAAGAGTATAAAGGAGATTAAAGTTACTATAATGAAGATAAGAAAAAAAAGAAGAAAAAAAATTAATAAAATTAAGAATAATAAGAAGATAATATTAATAAATATATTAGCGACAATTAAGATAATGAAATCGAATTTGAATATTAAGAATAAATTAATGACGAAAATTGATTACTTTTATGTATGTATATTTATAGATAATATAAAAACTATTTTTTATATTTTTAATTATTATACTGTAATTAAATTAAAATATTAGTGAACTATATATATTATTTATAATATTATTTTTTGTTATTTTTTTTTTAAATAACGTTTGAAATAAATAAAATTAATATATTTATCTTAATATTTTTAATAGGCGATTTTTTTTTAAAAAAATACAGAATTAATAAAAATTATAATATTAATAATAATATATATAAATTTTGTCTAATGTTTTAATGAAAATAATTTATATAAGTTTATTTTTTAAAGTATAATAATAATACTTTTAATTAAAAAAAAAATATTTATAATTATTAAAATAAATATATTATATTTTATTATATAAAAATATTTAAACAAAAATCAAATATATAAATAGATAAATAGATTTTTTTTATACATAAAATATATATAAAAAAAATTATTATTTTTTTCTATTAATTATTTTCATTATTTAATTTATAATTATTTTATTAAAAAAATTATAAATTAAATTGAAATAAGAGCAAAATATATTAGTGAAACAATGATTAAAATTATATTTAAAACATTTATATATATATATATATATATATATATATATATATATATATTATATCTTTATACAAATAAAAATAAAATATAATTATTTAAATAAATTAAAATAAAACCAAAAATTTAAGATATACTAAATTAGTATAAAAATCTATTTTAAAAATAAATAAAACAATTCCTTAAAACTTAAAATAAAAATCTAAAATAGAAACCAAAAGAAATAAAAAATGGGATCATATCTCTAAAAGCCGATAACTTAAAAAGAAACTCATTCAGGTAAATATGGTGGTTTGGAATTTGCTACATCATGTATGTAAGGTTGGCGTACTAATATGGAAGACGCTCATATAACAGATCCAAAATTTGACAAAGAAACTTAATTATACGCCGTATTTGACGGTCATGGTGGTTTCGAAGTAGCTGAATTTACAGCCAAGTATTTTCCTTAATAATTAAAAAATAATAAAAATTATTAAAATAAAAATTTTCAAGAAGCTTTAAAAGAAACGTTTATGTATATGGACTAATTATTATAAACTGAAGAATCTAAATAAGAACTAATTAATCTAATAAAGGCAAAAAAACCTGATTTAAAACCCGAAGAATTGAAATCAACAGCAGGATGTACTGCTAATGTTGTTTTAATTCACAAAAATACTATTTATTGTGCAAATGCAGGAGATTCAAGGTGTGTATTGTCCACAGAAGGCACTTTAGTGCCTCTAAGTGAAGACCATAAGCCTGAAAACGAGCTTGAACATCAAAGGGTGAAAAATGCAGGAGGAGAAGTAACTGCTTAAGGTAGAATAAATGGCAATTTAAACCTTTCTAGAGCTATAGGAGACTTAGATTATAAAAATAATTAAAATCTGCCTTAAGATTAATAATTAATTATTTCTTTACCTGATGTAAAAATACATGAAATAACTCACAAAGATGAATTTCTAATAATGGGATGTGATGGTAAATAAATATATAAACATTAAAATTTATATTATTATATAATTATAAATATATAAATTTAAATATATTTATATATATAATAATATTCATTAATTTATATATATTTTATTTTATGCATTTATAAATAATTAATAAGGTATATGGGAATTGAAAGAATAAGAAGAATTATTATAATTTTGTAGAAAAAATATAATCGAGAAAATGGATTTAAGTACTATATGTGAAAAAAGTTTAGATTTGTTACTTGCTCCAGATACTAAAGGAGGTAAAGGATGCGATAATATGAGTATTATATTAATAAAATTAAAGAAAAACATAGAAAATACAGAAAATTAATAATAATAATAATAACAATTATAAAATGACAAATTTAAATAAGCTGGTTAAATTGCAAATTTAGTTTTTTAAAGAATTACTAAGGAAAAAATAATGCAAAATTCTTCCGTTTTTGAAATCTGTAAATTTGCCGACGAAGAAATCGTCCGAGAATGTAAAAAAGTCTATTTAAAGGAAAAAAATAAAGGATTAGCATCCCCTACATGCATTTCTCTTAACAATCAAATCAATTATAATTGTCCTATATAGGATAATAAACAAGTAATTAAAAATGGAGATTTAGTTAAAATAGAATTAGGAGTCCATATAGACGGTTTCCCAGCCTATATTACCGGAACAGTACTCTGTGGGGCAAATTAAGTAGAAGGAAAAAAAGCAGAATGTGTACATGCAGCTTATCAGGCTTTATAAGCAGCTTTGAGGACTGTTTAATTTGGTTTTTCTACTTCGGGAACTTCCAGAATTATTCAATTATGCATAAATTAGTATGGATGTACTCCTATATAGGAAATTAAAGGTTTCGAAGCGTAAAAAAATGGGTAAATAGGAGGTTTAATATACTAAATAGTAGATTAGGAATGTGAGAATAATAGCTTTAGATACGAACATTAGGGAGTTTATGTTTTAGATGTTTGCGTTTGTAATGGAAAAGGATAAGTAAGTGTATGTGAAGAAAGTAATGTTTATTAAGTTTTAAAAAATAAATAATTATCAATTATTGGAGTGAAAAAACACAGTTAAAATTTATGGAAGGAAATTTAAGAAAAACAACCATTTTTTTATTTTAATTTAAGAGATTATTAAAATTAATAACATTTAGAATAATCAATTTAGGAATTTAATAAATAGGGACTTTTGGAAAAAAAAGAATGCTTATAAGTTGATTAAGGGGAGTTTGTGGCAAGATTTTAAATCACTGTGGGTGTTAATTCTAGTGGAGTAAGCTTTATCACAGGAGGAGATGATGTTTTTGATATCGGAAAGTTTAAAAGTGGAGTTTAGGTTTAAAATGAGGAAATTAAGAAATTATTAAGTTAAGAAATTTAATAAAATAAGAAAAAGAAAAACAAAAAAAAATGAAATTTATATATTAATAATAATATTATTTCTTTTATAATAATTAAATAGTTTTTTTTTTTTTTTTTTCATATATATTTTTTTATTTAAATAATAATAGATATCTTTATATAATTTACAATATTTTTTTTTTTATTTATATATATAAAAAATATTATTTATTTTTCATTCATTATTTTATAAACCATATATAGGTTCCTCAATTATAAAACCTTCTTTTTCTATTTCTTTTAAGTCATTTAATTAGTTTCCAAATACAACTTTTGAAAATTAATTATCTTCAATTTTTTTAACTAAATATTCTTTACATACTCTGACTAAATCCTATAAATATAAATATGATTATATACATATTTATAATATAATTATATGATTACGTCTCTGGTAGCATCAATAATTTCTTATCTATATTATTATCTCATTTCATCAGTTTTATCTTATTAAAATAAAATATATATTTATATAAATATATATATATATATATATATATATATATATATTTATATGTATATATATATAATATTTTTATTTAATTTTAATTTTAAACTTTTTATATTTCTTTAGTTTTTTTGTATAAATATTATCAAAAAATAAATTATTAAGTAAAAATGTGTTTTAATTTATTTTAAAAATTTTTTTATTAACATAAATAATTTCTAATTATAGCATTATATTTTATATTGAATTTATTTTTTAAAATATTTATATTAAAAATTAAATTAAATATTAAATTATATTTATATATATATATATATATATATATATATATATATATATATATATATTTATATATATATATATATACTTACTTTCTAAAACATAAGCAAGCCCTCTATCTTAAGGTTTTATGATTTAATCTATTTTACTAAATAAACTTAATTTAGATTCTTCAATATTTTTTTCATCAAACTATCCTTTACTAATTTACTTAATGGCATTTTAATAAATTTTGAATGTTTCTAAAGTATTAGGATCTCTATAGCTAAATAAATTTAAGGTTCCATCCATAAACTAACATCCACTTCCATAAGCTCCTCCTTTTTCTCTTATTTCTTTATGTAGGACTACATCTCCTATTAATTAGCCTAAAAGTTATAATTTAGGGGTATCTTTATTAGTATAGTTTGGCATTTCAAAGGATTATACGCAATAATTTACTTAAGAATCTAATGCAAAATATTTACTTATGTATTTTTTTTGGAAAGGATTATCGTAAATTTTAGATTATTCGGCTTTATATTTAAAAGCTGAAAATGCATAAGTTAAATTATCAATTATTTTTGATATATTTTAGTAGGTTTTATCAAAATTTTATTAATTTCCGTATACTATAAATTTTATTTTGTTTTTTCTCATCATAAATTACATTATACTATTCATATGGAAATTTAAATCATCTAAATACAACATACTATTATTATTTTTTTACAAAAAATTATTTGTAAATTAAAATAAAAATCTTGTCTTTTTTATAAAAAATAATAAAAATATGTAAATATAATTAAATTAAATACATGATTTAATTTTTCTTTTATAAAACAATTTTCCATTAAAGATGCTTAAGATACACTAACACTATATGAAAGTGCTTATTCAATAATATTATTTGATATATCATTACTGTAATTTCTTAATATAGTACTTATATTTTACATATCTTTAAAATCTGGGGCTATATTATATATAAAATAAAAGTATATATAAATATATAATTAGACATATTTATATTTAAAAATAAATATATATATAATATATATATATATATATATATATATACTATATATATAATTTAATATAATAAGATTTATTTTATTTTTTACCTGTTAACAATTCTTATAATAATTCACACATTTAATCAATATTTTTATCAATACATGCAATTGAAAGAAGTCCATAATTTAAAGGTTTATTATTATTAGTTTCATCGAAATTATATGGATTAGAAGATTCATAATTAAAGGATAAATTAGTTGAATATAAACTAAGTTTTTTTTAGAAATCTTTATAATTAATGGATTTTGTTCCAATTTTATTCAAAAAAATACTAAACATATTTATATATTTTCTGATATATAAAGGAACTTATTCAAGATCGAATTAAATTCTTAAAAAGGTTAAACCATTAGTATTTTAATTATTAAAATATATAGGAATATCCTTATATGTTTATTATGTAAAGACATTTTTTAATACTTCCCTATCAATATCAGAAATTTCTAGTTTAGGTAAACATTCATAATCTTCTTTTAGATTTTATTATTCTTAGAGAATTTTATTTTATTAAATAATTTTTTCTTTATCTATTTTTTTTTCAAGTTATTCTAATTTTATTTACTCTTATTAAGCTATTTTCTAATGATATTAATCATCTGGTTCCATAATTAATTATATTCTAACATTTTTCTTATTAAGGTATTTCTATATAAGCTATTCTAAATATTTCTCTTTGAATATCTTTTCTCTTAATATACTAATGTTTTCGCTAATTTTTAATATTTAGTTTACTTCGCCATCATGATTATATTAATTCAATATATTCATAAGCAAATTTATACCAAAGTTTTATTATTACATCTTATTATTTATTTCTATTTAGTGTAAAACTCCTTCTATAGTTTCTTTATCAAATCCTTCTATTTATGATTTTTCTAAACAATTAAATATAACATCTTCAACTTCCTATATTTATTATTTACTAATACCTTTTAAATTTAAATATATATATATATATATTAGTTTCATTTAAATAATAATATTATATATATGTATTTATATATATTTATATCAATTATTAATACCTGAAACCCCAATATTAAACATTCCTTATTTAATTCCACTTTCATATCCAGTTCCCGGAGTATAAGAAGGTGCTACTCCAGATTCTAATAAAGCTTAATATAATGGAGAATTAAAATTATGTAAAAGTAATTAATTTAATATAGAAAGTCCTTAACTTTCAAGGACATTATTAACTACATCATTACAAATAAAAGTAAAAGACATTTTTATTTATTTTTCATTATTTAATTGGGCTGCTTCTTGTGGTCCTTTTACATATATAACTTACTTGTTTCCCTAAACTTTATTTTTATCTAGTATTTAAACATCATTATCTTATTATTAATATTCATATTTTTTTAAATAATTTTAATTTATATATTCCAAGCTTAACCTAAAATCTTAATTACCATAAGAAAAGATTTTCGTATTAGATGGATGATAGAATTTTTTGTAAAATTAAATTAGTTCCTAATAAGATAAGTCAGTAATACTTTAAGGATCTCCTCCATAATTATGTTAATAAATAGTATCTTTTAAAGAATACTTATATATATTTTAATAATAAATGCTGTCAGAAGTCTAATAAATTCCTTTCATTTCATTATATACTACTCCTTTATAATTTATTTTTTACTCATCATTAAAATCAAATCGCCAACCTTCCTGTTAAAAATCTGACTCCTAAAGTAAAGGGTTAAATGTTATATCGAAATATACTTACATTAAATTTCTAAAATCTTTATGGTTTTAAGAACTGAAAGGATAACAAGTAAAATCAGGGCCTGTCCAAGCATTCATATATGTATTTAAAGATCTTTTTATCATTTTAAAGAAAGGATCTCTTACTGGAAATAACTTACCTTAATTTTTTAAAAAAATAATATAAATATATATATGATATAAATAAATATAAATATATATTAATATATATAAATATATAATAATATATATATTTGTAATTATTTAATTATATATAAATAAAATTATATTTATATATAAACTTCTATAAAAAATATATTTTACCTCCACAACATGTTAAGTGTTCTAAAATATGAGGAGTTCCTTTATCATTATTTGGGATTGTTCGAAATATTATTGCCATACAATTGTTTTTATCAGTAGAATCAAAATGAAGGAATTTCGTTTTAGTTTTTGAGTGTTCTAGATGATAGCTTGTGAGATTAAAGTCTTTTATTTTTTCAATTTTTTTTAGCTCGAAATCGTGGATTATTTCGCCTATTTTTATATCGTAATTTAATGCATTTAATCGTAAAATTTATTGATTTTTGAATGTGCTATTTCTCAATTTTTTTAACATTTTTATTTATTTATTTTAAAATCGAAATTTCTATTTATTTTTTATTTTAATTCAAAGATATAAATAAAAAATAATTTAATTTTATTTATATAAATAATAAATTTGTTTGTTTATTCATTTACATACTTACAGTATTAATATTTATAATATATATTATAAAATATTATTTAATAATAAATTTTTTTTTATAAAGTATTATATGTTATTTTTTATTTTTTAAATATATATATATATATATATATATATATATATATATATATATTTGTAATTTTTATTATTTTAATCAGTATTTTTTATTTTTTAATTTATTTTATTATTATTACTAATATTTACATTTGTTAATATAAATATTTTGTTTAATTTTTTTAGTTTTTTTTTTTTGTAAATAAATATTTTTGTAACACATAAATATAATTTTTAATATTTTATACTAATGAATTTTTTATTTTTATTATTTATATTTAGATTTTATTATCAAGAAATTTATTTAAATATTAAATTTTTTCTTTATAATATAATTAAATTTCTATTTAAAACAATTTCTTGTATATATATTCCATTTTTGTTTAAATAATCTTATTTATTAATTTAAATTGTTATTAAATATTTATTAATAATATTTTTTCTTCATTGAATGATCAGTTAAATTATGTAAAAAAAATAGAATTAATTTTCTATTTAAATTAAAACTTCGATGACATATATTACTTATTTTTAACAAAAAATATATATATAAAACCTAAAATTAATTGCATAATTACTCATTAAATAAAGATATTAATTTTATTGTATTATGTTCCTATTTATCATGTTTTTTTTAAAAAAAAGATAAGGAAATATATGTAAAAAATACAACTCCTAATAAAGATCCGAAACCAAAAGTTTGCAAAAAAAAAAAAAAAATGGAAAGCTCTCCATCTCGAATTGTATTTTATTTTTTATATCCTATTATTTATTTAAATATAAATACTTATAAATAAATTGAAAAATACAATGAAAACATTTGTTTTAATTTTATTAATACTTATTTGTATTTAAGTTAAAATATAATATATTACGAAATTAAATCAACTTTTTTATAAAAAGGTTTACTCTAAAAATAAATGAATAATTTATTTATTTATTTATTTTTAAAAATTTGCTTGTAGAATATTATGTTTTCATCCTCAATATATTAAAAATAAATATATTAATATTAGTAATTAAAATATGATTATTAAAATATCAAATAGATATTTATTAACATATTTTTTATAAATATATATATATATATATATATATATATATATATATATATATATATATATATATATATATAT